AAAAAAAAATTTAAAAAAAAGGCAACCAATAAAAATCAAACAATAAGTGAATATCTATATTCCCCTAGGTTAGGGCAGTTAATGGAGTGCCTGCCATCTGGGACACTGTCCTGGGGATTGCACAGCCCTGGGGGATGAGCTCTGAGCCATCCGGCTGTCTGCATGGGCCCTGCCAACCCTTCCAACCTCACTCCCATTCCCTGCCTTCTTCACACAACCCTGGTTCCAGCCAAACCTAACTCCTCATTAGTTTCTGTCCCTGCTTCCAACTGTCATCTCCCAGCTGCTGCCCCTGCCCCTGCCTCTGCCTGCAGCAGGAATGTCAAACCCCAGTGGAATGCCATTTCCTTCTGAAGTTGTCCCTTCGAGCTGGAAGGAAACACTGGGAATCTTGAATTCCAGATGTTCCAGCTGTGACTTCTCTCCAGCCCCTTGATGGGACCATCTGAAGGGCTGTCGTCCGCTGGCTGGAGGTACACGGAAGCAGAGATGCCGGCTGGTTCCCAGCCCAGTGAGAAGAGCAGGGGGTGGAGGCCTGGAGATGGGGGCGTGGCCCCTTCACCCCTCCCCCCAGCCCTGTCCCTCTTCCTCCTCCTGCCACTGGGTGAGTGTTCCCAGCCAGTCCCTGCTATTTCTTCCTGGCTCTTGGTTTTCTCAACTGTCCTGCATGGCTGTCTGGTAGCCATCTCAATATTTGCTGGAGGGCCTTGAACCCCACTGAAGTTGACCTGTCTGTTAAATCCTACAAGACTCATACATTGTCCTAATGAGAGAGTGAGTTAGTCCCATGAGACACTAAGCACATAAGTGACACCCAAAGCAGAAGGATTCCATAGGTTAACCTTTTGGGGGAAAATCCTAAGGAATCTCCACTGCAGTTTACATGATTAAGGAGGGGGTGCTGAACATCTTCTAACTCACCCTGAGCAGGGAGCCCTGGGGACCCAGGTATGAGACAAGCATGTCCACATTACCAGGCAGAAGGCACTGGAAGAGGCATATACACAGTACCCAGGAATCAGGGGAGATTGCTCGTCTAGCCCAGGGACACGGGGAGGCTTCCAGAATAGCTCCAAGCTGGGTCATGAAGGATCTTCAAGGCTGTAATTAGTAGGGTTGGCCAGAGGGTTCAAGACCTGGAGACAAGATTGATGGAAGATTAAAGCTGGGCCTAGTGGCCCACACCTGCTATCTCAGGAGGCTGAGGCAGGAGAGTTACAAATTCAAGGCCAGCCTCAGCAACTTAGTGAGACCCTAAAATAGAATATAAAAAAGAAACTGGGGATGTAGTTTGGTGATAGAGGACCCCTGGGTTCAATTCCTAGCACCACCACCTCAAAGGAAAAAGAAAAAAAAAAAAGTTGAGGTTGGTCAGAAAGCCCTAAAAGTCATTGTAAACAGAACTCAGGGCTAGGACTCCTGCAGGGATTTAGCAGTAGAGACAGGAAGCTTCTGGTAGATCTTTCTGGAGTAGTCCAGGGACCGCTGGGAAAAGGTAAGGTAGGGAGGCTGATCTAGACAGTTCCAGAGAGAGGTGACAGAACTTTGGAAAAGCTGGAGACCGGGAGGAGTTGGGTGGTGACCATGGGGAGGGAAAGCTGTGTTGCTCAGACCAGACAGCCAGAGGCTGGGCAGAGGGGCCCAAGCTCTCCCCTGCTCTGTTTCAGCCAGCGCCCTCCAGGCCACTCCAAGGACTTTTTCAGGTAGGTGCCCTGCCCTACCCTTACCTGCCCTCAGGTACTCTGCACTCAGAGGACCTCAGGGAGGAATGACTAACCAGCCCTCTGTGACTCTAGATGCCCCCACGTCCAAGGCACTGCCTCAGACTCTCCATTTCACAGAAGGGACGGATCCCAATGACCCATTCTAGGCAATTGCTCTACCGCTGAGCCACAATTCCAGCCTCTCTAACTCTATCTTATCTGCAAGATGAGTCTTGTTCTGCAAGCCCCTCAGAATTGTGAATGGCCCTCCCTAGTGGGCAAGGCTCTCTCTCTCCAGTCTTGGACACATTAGGCTTCTGAGAACATAGGACACTGGAAGGAACTGAAAACAAGGTCCTGCAAGCCCTGAATACACTGTAAAGGCTAGCCCAAGTCAATCACTACTGTCAAAAGTGGGCCCTTCTTGGATCCCAGCGATGGGGCGTGCACAACTGCTTTCACTATGAGGATGTTGCTGTTCTGTGCGATGGTGAGCTGAGGCCCTGGATGGGGAGGGTGGCCGACTATGGCAGGGCTGTATGCAGGTCTGAGGTGGGACCTGAAAATGTGCATAAGTTCCCCAGGAATGTGAACTGCTTTAAGAAGGATGCTTTCCTAGGTGCAATGACTCAAGTCTGTAATCCTAATGACTCTGGCTGAGGCAGGAGGATTGCAAGTTTGAGGCCAGCCTGGGCAACTTAGTGAGATCCCATCTCAAAATAAAAAGGGCTGAGGGGGCGGTGTAGCCCAGTGATACAGCAGCCCTGGATTCAATCCTCAGCACTGCGGAAAAGAAAAAGAAAAAACTGAAGAAGTAAGAAGTTTGGTAGCTTCTCCTCCTCTCAATCCCAGGGTGATTCTCTTTGACCCTTTGTGCAGCCAGAAGCCCCAGAGGCAGCACCTTAGGAATCCACGTCCTTGCCCTGTCATTCATTCTCTGGATGGGAAAATGTAGCACAGAAAATTTCAGGTATCCTCCCTTCCTCCTGCTTCCTCCCCAGAATTCTTGCTGACACAGCCCCCAACAAGGAAGGTGCTAAGCAGTAGAGCGCCCCCTACAACTCCTCAGAATGGGAAAGGTAAGTAAGGGTGATGTGGGGGACCCCCTAGGCCTTAGGAGTCGCCCACACTCTACCCTAAGCAGGGGAAGAGGGAGATTGCAAACCGAAGGCTGGAGAAGGTGAGCAGGAGGGAACTGGGGGTGGGAGCAGATTAGTGGAGGGAGGCACAAAAATGAGGAACAAGAAAAGGAAAAGGGCAGCCTGCCATCCGATCCCAGCAATGGGAGGCTGAGGCAGGAAGATGCAAGTTCAAGGCCAACCTGGGTACTCAGCAAGAGTACAAAATTTAAAAAGGGCTAGGGATGTAGTTCAGGGGTAGAGCGCTTGCCTAGCAGGCGCCCTCCTCAGTACTGCAAAAAATAAAAAAGGGAAAGGGCCCCCAAAGAAGGACAGTTAAGGAAGTCCAGTGGAGGAAGAGGGTTCCCTCCATCAGGAGGCCAGGAGGGCTTCATGGAGGAAGAGTTGTGAGGCTGCACCTTGAAAGGGGAGGTTTTCTTCAGGTGGTAGTAAAGGCAAAGCCGTGTGCTCTAGTCCTCCAGGAGAGCAGAGAAAAGGGACCAGAGGGCTGGTTTTAGGCAGGAATGACCCAACCAAGGTTGGCTGCCCTGTGACCCCACAAGCCGCCCCATCTGGACTGTGAGGAGGCAATGCCCTGGAGGTGGGTGGGCGGGCAGCTCCGCCTGGGTTGTGGGTCCTGGGGCAAGGAAGGGTGCGTCCAGGCTTGGCACACGTGTGTGAATGGGGAGGCAGAGCAGGTGGGAGATGTTCCCTGCCCCCAGCCCGCTCCCCTCACCAGGTGAGGGCAGCGTGCGCCTGGTGGGGGGCGCGGGCCCTTGTCAGGGCCGAGTGGAGATCCTGCACGGCGGCCTGTGGGGTACGGTGTGTGACGATGACTGGGGGCTGCCGGACGCCGCTGTGGTCTGCCGCCAGCTAGGCTGCGGGGCGGCCTTGGCCGCCACCACCAACGCCTTCTTCGGCTTTGGCACGGGGCACATCCTGCTGGACAACGTGCACTGTGAAGGCAGCGAACCCCGCCTGGCAGCTTGCCTGAGCCTGGGCTGGGGCGTGCACAACTGTGGTCACCACGAAGACGCGGGCGCGCTCTGCGCAGGTGCAGGCTCTGGGGCGGGCCCTGGAGGGGAGGGCAAGGTGGAGAGGGACTGAGCCCTGGGCGGGGAGGAGCGAGCATTGGCTGGCTACCTTAGCGGTTCCAAGAGCTCTCCTGGAGGGCTTGGAAGTGACTTCTCTCAGTCCTACTCCAGAAGGTGCCTCAGAAAATCCCATTACTATTTAGGGAACACTCCACAGCTGTGTAACAATACTGCAGTACTGCTCCACGAATAATGCCTCCATAACTTTCTAGCAATTTCCAAGAACTCTTAGTGGAATACTGAGGCTGAGGCAGTAGGATGGTAAGTTCAAAGCTAGCCTCAGCAACTTAGGGAGACCCTGCCTCAAAATATAAAAAAGGCTTGGGTTGTTGCTCAGTGGTTAAGCGCCCCTGGGTTCAATCCCTGATTTAAAAAAAAAAAAAAAATGGGCTGGGGATATGGCTCAAGAGGTAGCACGCTCGCCTGGCATGCGTGCGGCCCGGGTTCGATACTGTGTCCGCTGAAAACTGAAAAATAAATATTAAAAAATTTTTTTAAAAAAGTAACAGTACTTTAAAATTGCCCCCGAGATACATCAGAATCACCTAGCATAGCCCTCTGTAATCCTGAAGCTCTCATAGTAACTTTCTCCCACGTGGACTCTCTCCAATTTGAGAAGTGTTCTCAGCCTATAGGATTAATAATGCCAATAACAACATTTCACAGATGGACCCTATTGTATAAGATGGAAAGTACTTTAGCACTCCAAGGGCTATCATTCCCACTTACAGATGGGAAAGTTGAGGCCCTGAGAGGCAAAGCCTTACCCTCTTATACAAAAAATCTGACAGAGCTAGGGCTGTCCTTGCTGCATGGCCTTGAGCAGACCACCCCTTTCTAGCTCTATCTTTAAAAAAAAAAAAAATATATATATATATATATATACACACATATATATATACACACACACATTTATTTTTTAAGTGTAGATGGACACAACACAATGCCTTTATTTTTATGTGGTGCTGAGGCTCGAACCCAGGGAGTGCTCTACCGCTGAGCCACAATTCCAGCCTCTCTAACTCTATCTTATCTGCAAGATGAGTCTTGTTCTGCAAGCCCCTCAGAATTGTGAATGGCCCTCCCTAGTGGGCAAGGCTCTCTCTCTCCAGTCTTGGACACATTAGGCTTCTGAGAACATAGGACACTGGAAGGAACTGAAAACAAGGTCCTGCAAGCCCTGAATACACTGTAAAGGCTAGCCCAAGTCAATCACTACTGTCAAAAGTGGGCCCTTCTTGGATCCCAGCTAGGGCTGAGCCCCTGTCCAAGGAAGTAAAATCTGGTGTCATTTCTAAGAGACCCTCCTCTCCTCTCCTGAGAGTCCATGGATCACCTGAAAAAAGAGCAGCCTCTGATCCTGCTCTCTTTTCTCCTGCTCTAGTCCTGGGTCCCACAACTCTCACAGCACTGCCACCCTTGGCCACAAGAGCAGATGGGGCCTGGCACACTGAGCCATCAGGTATAAAGCCCACCCTTCAGGCTGAAACCTTAGGAACAAGGTGGGTGGGGATGCGCACTGGGAATGCTGTTTTGGATCCACAGGAAGGGGTCTATTACTCACAGGCCAGGGCTTTTGGCCAGATGGTAAGGGTGGGTGAGAGAACCATGAGCAGATGGAACAAGGATGAAACCCGGAGCCATGAAAAGTTCGGCGGGGTGGGAGGCGGTGGTAAGATTTCTCCAAAGCGCTTAAGTAAAATTTGGGGCTGCTGCTGAGTTTGGGAATCAGAGACTTGGTGAGGGAGTTAACCTAAAGGATGAATCAAGGTTAAAAGTGAGGTTGGAGAGTTGGGGCTGTAGCGCAGTGGTAGAGCGCTCGCCTAGCTCGGGTGAGGTGCTGGGTGATCCTCAGAACCACATAAAAACAAACCAATGTTAAAATCTCTCTTTTTTTTTAAGTGAGGTTGGAACTGGGTCTGTAGCTGTTACTGGGATTAAAATTAGGTTAACGTCTAGAATTAAGATTCTACGTTAAACTACACATGGTGACTCAGACTAGGACTGAGTGTGAGGTGCGGTGTGGCAGTCGGGGTCCCCCTGCCTGCTGCAGGACAGACCTCCTAGTGCCCTTTAAACGCTCTGTCTCCGCAGGTACCAGAGTTGGTGCCCAGTCTTCTGGGGAGTCGGTTCTGTCCACCACACCCACCTGGGCTGCGGGGAAGAAAAGTAAGTGGCCGAGCAGGTGTCCCGCGGGGGGTGGGAGAGGATGGGGCAGGGGCTCTGCCAGGGAGCCGGCCGCCCCAGCCCAGCCCCCTCTGGCCGCGGGCCTGTGCGCCCCGCAGGCGGGCGGCTGCGGCTGGTGGGCGGCCCGGGCCCGTGCCGTGGCCGCGTGGAGGTGCTGTACGCCGGGGGTTGGGGCACCGTGTGCGACGATGACTGGGACTTCGCGGACGCGCGCGTGGCTTGCCGCGAAGCGGGCTGCGGACCTGCGCTGGGCGCTACGGGTCTCGGTCACTTCGGCTACGGCCGCGGCCCGGTGCTGCTGGACAATGTGGGCTGTGTGGGTACCGAAGCCCGCCTGAGCGACTGCTTCCATCTGGGCTGGGGGCAGCACAACTGCGGTCACCACGAGGACGCGGGCGCTCTCTGCGCAGGTAAGACTGCGGCTGGACCGCGCGGAGGCGCCCTCTGCGGTGCGGACGGGGCCCACGTATGCACGCATGGCGGAGAGGGTGGGGCCTCGCGTACACGCACTGCGCGCGTGGGCGGGGCCTGAGAGGGATGGGCGGGGACGCGCGTGAGGCCTCTCTGCGGCACTGCGGCGGGAGCACTCCGCCGGGACTAGCGGC